AATTAGAGGGTGGATAAGATCAATTCGTGCATCCAAAAACCATCTTCGAGCAATATATAAAAGGAATCCCACCCACCATACGTTTATGTCATGTTATATCACACACCACCAAGTTACCAAAATATTTTATAAACATGCAACAGTAGATGCCACTTCGAAAAAAAAAATCATAAAATCATTATAATAAAATGAATGAATAAAGCGTTTAATATATATATATATATATACACACATATATAGTATAATCATGCTTCATATTTTATTCCCATGGACTTTTCTTCTTTTCTTGACATAATCAATCATGCATTTCTTTGACCAACTTTTTCCTATCATAAGGAAAAATGGTTCATTTATCAAAAAATGCTTTTAAAAGTTTACAATAGTTAAGTATTTTTCAAAAAGTAAAAATCTGTTTTGATATCATTTTATAAGTTACAAATAACATGGCTTCTTTAACTCCAAGGAAAATACAAAAGCATGTTCTAAAATATTAAACAAACATAGCTTAAGACAGCCAATTTTAGAACAAGAAAAAGAAGAGATCTTAAACACAAAAAAGTAAAAATAAAAAAAAAAAAATTACAGTGCTGGAAGATACTGTACATAATTATCTCTATCTTTCATTTAATCGTCCCACTTGGACGTTAGAAAGTTATTGAAATTTAATAGTAGAACAAGAAACACACGAAATTGATTAAAGAGGTATCGTATGTCACAAAAAGGACAAACTGATTAAAGGGAAAAACTTTAATCAGCAGAAAGGAGTCAATAATGGCATTAGCCTTGTTGACCACCATACTTGTTATTTTCATTCTCTTGGCTGGCGAATAGGAATGTTGTCGATTTGGTGGAACCCCATGTCCAACCTCCTATTTGCATCATTCTTGGTCTAATGAGAAGTTTTTTTTATCCTCTTCCCTTTATTTTACAATTGTCTCCATCTTCCCTTTTCTTCATCAATTTGATCCTTTCTGTGATCTTTTTGCTCTTTTTTTCTCAGCTTATCTTTATTGACTTAATAATTCTCTTTTATTCTTTTTTCTCTATTTATTAAAGATCTTCTTATAGGAAAATCAGACATATTCCGTTATAATAAACGTCAAAGGAATATATCAATAAAAATGAACTAATACTTAAACAAAAAATATTAAATAATTAAAGCGTAAATCAAAATTCAATAACATGAAAAAAAAACCTACAACACCAAAAATATTAAGATTTTAAATTAAGAGTATTGTCAAGTTGATCAGGTAAGTAATATCTAGGTTTCCTTTACAAGGTTAATCTCATACCATGGATAATCTCATGTTCCACAAAGATAAAGTGCTATAGAACGAAAGACCTACGCGTTATTTGTCGAATGAAAGCTCTCTGTCTGTGTCTACAGTTATTTCAGCCCTCGAATTGGAAGTGATTTTGCATTATTTTAAGATTTTTATTTCTTTTGTTGGAAAAAAAAAATCCACTTTATGGAAGTCTAAACAGTGATAAAAAAATTAATTATTTTTAGAATTAAAATATACAGTGAGTAATACATTTCACTATACTTTAACACCAACTATCCTATAGGTTAGTTCAATATTGTCTCTTTTATTTCACTATATTTTAACACCAAATAAAAAAAGTATTTATTACACTTTTCTTTTTCTTTTTCAGAGTAAATAATAGATGCATTTATAATGTATAGTTTTTTTTAATTACATTTTATGTATGCTAGTTTTCACTAGTAAAAATTTCATATTTTATGAAAATATTTTTATAAAAGTTTGTATGAAATAGTTTTCTTATAAATTTAAATAATTTTTTATAAGAAAATTTGCAAAAAATAACTTTTTTTTAAGTAGTGTTTGTTAATTTTTATATACTCACTCTAAAATTATATAAACGAAGATTTGAAAACGATCGAAACTGTAATTTTTTTATATTGATACTAAATGACTATTAAACTATTTTCAATATAATTAGTATCTTTAAATGTTTAAAATTAAGGCTTGATACAACAAATTTTCAACTCAATCTTCTAACTTCTAATAATTTTCTGGTGACAATGAATCTGTGTGTTACTGGTGTCACTCTCTTTTACTTTCGTTAGCGCGCAGAAAAAAAAAACAATAAATAATTAGCCATAATTTTAAGGTGATTGTGGTCAAAAGGTGGCAACATGTAATTAATTAACACTCGTACTTGCCATTGCCAAACATGTTCTGAGTTCGCGCATTCAAAATCGTGTTTGGAATCACTTCATCGTAAAATTCAATAAATTAATTAAAGCAAATCATTATAGAGGAAATAGGATGAAAATATTTTTCTTTCTCTGTACTCGTTTTTCATCATGCATGCGTTAATCAACGTAACGAAAACATAATAATGCAGAGATTTTTTAACTCAATGAATTGATTGACCTAAACTAATTAAACTTAGACCTGGGGTTTACACAAACCAATTTCAAATAAAATCAATCGAGGTGTGTTGCAGTGTTGCTTCACTCGATGATGTCTAAAATTGTTGTAAAAAATTTGGATACAATAAAAGTTTAAGGTGAGAGAACTCACAATAAGAAAAATATTGATGACACACTCTATGGAAAAATATATTATTTTATTAATTAAAATTACAAAATTTTAACTCATCTTATTTAATGTGTTTCATTCTTAAATTTATAATCTTTAATATTTTTGAGAAAAAAAAATTCAATATTCTTAATAAATAAGTCCTCTACCACGCTACTAACCCCAAAAACCCTACTTCAAATAAGAGTTAAAAATTATAAATATTCCCTACCTAAGCCCTAATATTCTCTTATACACACGTCATTCTTTTTCGTAGACTCCTTTATATTTAGGACGCAATATGGTTTCTCTTTAGAAAAATCACTATTCTTCTCAATAAAGAATGTCCCTCTAATATCAAACATTCAAATCCAACAATTCTAATATATAATTTAATTAATATTTGTGAAATTTGAATTAATTTTTTCAACAAAGATTGCCATTTTTATTTTCGTAATATTTAGTCTTACTATTGATTTCAAAATAATACTCACGTTTTTTTCTTCTTCTCCAAATTTAAAAAGTAACAATTTGGTACAATGTCATCGTAAATCTTATTTTTTTTTAGATAAAAGTATTTTAAAACATAAAATTTATTTTCTAAAATTTGTTATATTTGACAAATTTTTTCGACAATGAGAATTTTTTTTCTAAGCAGATTTAAAGTTTATAACTAAAATCGACCGATAGATTATTTTGCATCAAACTTTTCATTATTTTCATGTTTTCAATTATATATAATTTATATACAAAAATAAATAATTACAAACAGTTTTTTATAAGTTTACTATAAAAGTTATTACCTAAAATTATTTTTCACATGTAACATAATAATAAGATTACTGAAATATTTTTTACATATAATTCAAATATTTACAATTTTTTTTCTAGGCAAGTTTATCCAGAACACTTTATTTTATTTATGAAAATAAAAAAAGTAACTAAACTTTTAAGTGTGATCCATAATATATCAACTCCTCGATGTATGGGTGTTTCATCTTTCTTCACTCTTATCCTGTAAAAGTTCATCCTGCGCGCGATCATGGCATGACGATTTATAATTTTCATTATCCCCGTCTAGCTTACATCTCTCTATTATTAAAATGGTGCCAAGAAAACGAAATTTCAATAACTTCATGTCCTGCACCAAGTGCACTGCATTTTTATTATATACAATGCAAACTTTTAAAAGTTTTGAGGAAGGAGGAAGCGATAAAAAAGCAGAACATACGTAAGGCAAAATCACACTTGGCTACAAACAAGTGGAGGTTGGAAAAAAGCTATTTTTCATAATAATAATAATAATAATTATTATTATTATTATTATTATTATTATTTACTCATAACAATTAGTTAAGAAATCACGTGTGATGATATATAATTAAAAACTGTAATTTTCCCACTAATGCTAACTCAAAAATAAATCCATTACATTACATTAAAGAATGCACAATCAGATAGCATTATTGGAGATTATTTCCCACTTACTAGCCTTAATTATATGAGGAGTTGGTGTTTGACATGATATTGAGCATAGATTTTATATTTGACTCTCGATCCCAACACATAGATTATGTAATGTACATCAGATGGCAATATTAGTGTTGGTTTTGCACCCAATTAGCTTTAGTTATAGGGGATGTTGATGTTTGACATGACATTGAGCAATCACCTTTGTTGTTTTTATCCATCCATTCCTTAATTTTAGGTACCTTCTAAGTGAGTTTGTTGAATGTAACTTGTCATGCAGCTGTAGCCCTTTTTTACAACGAAATTCATTTACCATGTAGAAAAGAAATATAAATTTCACCAGGGTTTAGGAGATTAAATCCTAGAAGATAGCTGGTCCTGCACTAAATTATTACTAAAAGATTCACTAGGGTCAACCTAGTATCAGGGCTAAATAATTGGTAAAATTTCTAGGTTAAACCTTATTGTCCATTATTACACTGTTAATGTAACTTTCTCTACTGCTCGGTAAAAATCACGATGAGCTTGCAAGAGAAAAGTTTAAACTGAACCAAAGGGTGAGGAATAAATGGGTTCCAGAGCCCACCCACTGTTATGAATACTAGTATTATATAAAAGCAAAACATAGTGTTTTGTTTTTTCAGCATAACATAAAGTTAATTGCAGTGCGTTTTGTGAAAAAAACTTGGAGCAGGGAAAGTGTATTCTGAGTCACGGCAACCGAATAGAGAGGGAATCAAGCAAAGGTATTGCATTGCAGGCACTCCCACTAAATAATGGTTATATAGCTTTTCTTTGAGATTGACCAAAAGTATAACTTTAAACAGGGTCCGATACTTATCGCTTATCCTCTTCCTCTCCCTATTGCAATTTGTCTTAATCATTACCCTTTGTGTTTATAAGTAAGATCACACTCCATACACTTGAGACTACCTCGTCTAAGTGTCATAGAATTTCTCATATTGTCTCAAACACACAAACATGGAACAAAAATGTTGTTGTGCCAGTTTTGGAAAGAACTTCAGTAAGGCAAAGCCTTTTTTGTTAACGGTGGGACTTCAATTTGGGTTCGCCGGAGCATACATCTTTTCCATCGCCAGTCTCAACCATGGAATGAATCGTTATGTTTTCGTTGTCTATCGTAATGTCATCGCTGCCTTGGCCCTCGCTCCTTTTGCATTGATTTTTGAGAGGTCCTATCTTAATTATTAACTTCATATTACAATCATTATTTTCCTAATGATCTCATGCATGCAGTGCCAGGAAATGTTTAATTAACATTACTCGATACAATTTTGCAGGAAAATTAGGCCAAAGATAACACTCCCTGTCTTCTTGCAGATAATGGCACTCGGATTTGTGGAGTAACGATCTAAAACCTTTCTCTGTCACTATCACTCACTATCAGTATACACTAATATATATATATATATATATATATATATATATATATATATATATATATATATATATATATATATATATATATATATATATATCTAACCTATTTTATTATAAACACGTCATTTTACGTTGAATAATAACATTTTGAAATATAAAATAAATCATGCAATACGTTCTCCAAGTTGTCCACATCATGCGTCTACTTACGCAACTATCTGATCATGGTAAAAGCTTTCATTATAGTGATGTAGTAAATAAATGAAAGCTACGTCTTCTTTAATAAAACATTAGTTCCTGAAAGCTAAGTAAATACAAGCATGGTATTTTCATTGGAATATATTATAAATATAACATAATTTATGTTTAATATGTTTTATGTTTGGTAAATAACCATGGAATTAAGTAAAAAGATGATATTTTGCGAACCGGAACATCTATGAAACAACCAAAAAAATTAGTAAAATAATAAATATTGTTATTATAGTAAGGAAAAGAGTTGTTAATTGGTTTTATACGCTAAATCCGGTTGTCGATGAATATTTTTGAATTATGTAAGGTATGATGTTGTAAAATGATTACACAATTATCTGAGCTAAAGAAGAAAGTCTACATCAAAGTTAATTTATCCTCGACGTAAGGGAATCAAGATATATGTACTATTCTAACATAAAATAAACAAATATTGATAGGTCATCTCTAAGGATATTAATTAAAGAATAATTCATGAAGAAAAATATATGTTATTTTAAATACATAGCTACTACATTGTTTTATGTAATTAAATATTTGTATAAAAATAATGAAAATTATTTTTTGTTTTGTTTTTTTCTGTTTTCTTCACTAATATTTGTAATCAAAGGAAGAATGAAATGATAGTTTTGCATCAGAAAGTTTTATTTTTAAAGGTAAAAACATAACCTAATTTGAAGAAGTATTTTTTTGATTAATTATAAATATAATCAATTATTAAAATTAAACTTTTTATAACTAATCCAAACACACTTTCATGACATGAAAATTTGTTGACTTGAATTTATTCAGACTAGCAAGTTCAAATTTAACTCTATCTACCGGTACTTGAACAGATTAAAAGAAATTCACCCATTCTTAAACACTGAAGATACTTCAAACAGAAACTGAAATCAATTATGTTAAGAAGGAAAAAAAAAACAGAACATAGAGTCGTTTTTCTCCATTCAAAGTTTTAGGATGATAATGGATATCATTGTATGTGATATTTCAGGCCAGTGATTGACCAAGGGTTCACTTTCTTGGGAATGCAATATACATCAGCTTCATTTGCTTCTGTTATAATGAATGCCGTGCCTTCTGTCACTTTTGTGCTAGCCGTAGTTCTAAGGTATTATTTGACAATGGAGCATTTAATCAGCCCAAGTAAAATCTTCTACCTATCTTAACGTTACGACTTGTGTGTGATGAACAAGAACAATTTGCTTGTATGTATACTGCATCAGGTTAGAGCGTGTAAATGTTCAGGAAATACGGAGCCTAGCAAAGGTGATTGGGACATTGGTAACATTTGCAGGTGCTTTGTTAATGACACTTTACAAAGGTCCTGAATTTAACCTATTTCATTCTGCAAACACAACCCACCACCAAGATGGAAGTAACTCCCCTCAAGTTGTCAAACACTGGGTCTCTGGGACTCTCTTTCTTCTCCTGGGTTGTGTGGCTTGGTCATCTTTCTTCATTTTACAGGCATGTTACAATGTTAATTCATTTTATCTTAGTTTCTTCGTTCTTCTACTTCGATAGGCACTTTTATGTGTGTAACAAACAACATATGTTTTGGTAAATTGTGAATTGCAGTCCATAACATTGAAAAGGTATCCGGCAGAATTGTCTCTCTCTTCATTGGTCTGCGTATCGGGTGCTGCGCAAGCTAGCGTGGTGGCAATTGTGGCCACTCGTCATTCTGGGCTTGCGGCATGGGCCTTAGGTTGGGACTTCAGACTCTACGGTCCACTCTACACGGTAAGTACTGATCCATTAAGGATTTAAAATCTAATTTTGTCTAATAAGATGAGAAGTGGTCAAACTATTGATGGTTTTTCTCTTAATAATCAAATTTCGAAATTACAGGGAATTGTTACCTCTGGAATTACGTACTATGCGCAAGGTTTGGTATTGCAGAGCAGAGGCCCAGTATTTTTAACTGCCTTTAATCCTCTTTGCATGGTCATAACTTGTGCTTTAGGATCCTTTCTTTTTGCAGAGCAACTTCACTTGGGCAGGTATGCTTCTTACTACTTCATTGTATGATCACATTCTTAATTCATCTTCTTCGTTAATTTCTGAATCATGATCTTACTCTGTCTTTTTCTACTTTGCTGATACCAGTATCATCGGAGCTATCATCATCGCATTGGGTCTGTACTCTGTGGTGTGGGGCAAAGGGAAAGACCCTTCAAACCCCATTCCATCATCACCTACAACAAAGCATATGGAGACACAACAATTGCCAATTTCCTCACCCAATATCTAACACAGAATTCCAAAGGAATTTGTGAACAATGCACTTTTGCTGCCTTCAAAAAATTTGCTATAGCTATGTACGTTAATTTCTTGCTTTGGGTCCCCACATTGTGAAGGGATAGTCTGTGATTGCAGCTACAAGCATAGTCATTGCCTTTGCTTTAATTTATCATCCAAAAAGAAAACATATTATGTACCCTTTGATATGAAGATTAGCTTTTAACCACCTTTGCTCTTCTCCAACAATAAATAAATTTAAATCTCTCAATTCATATATATCTTTGCCTTTCTGTACGGCTAGTTTTAAAGTAATATATGTAATTATTTTGAAGTGTTTTTTGTGATCATGATGCATGTTATGCATGATCAACCACTTCTAAAATTGATGCCACCATAATTAAAGTACATTAGTCATACAAGCAATGATGTGATAACTATAGTTGATATAGAATACATTTTGACTTAGATTATGATAAATTGGATAAAAATAATATATTAATCTATTTTAATCTACTACAATTCATTTTAAAATCAGAACCTATCCTTTACTATTTGATAAAAATTCATTAAATCCATTCATTATTAATTATTTCATGGATGAAAATTCAGTTCATCTATATTTAATATACCCATGTATATAAATGATGCTATACATGTTTATTTTTATCTCTACTAATCATACCCTATATTTTAAACATTTTTATCTCTACTTAACATACCCTTTGATTAACTAAACACTCACTCATTACCATTAAGGGTAAGTTTAATAGAGAGAAAAGAAATAAAAGAAAAAGAAAATGATTAGAAAGAGATAAAAATAAATGAAAAACAGTAAAAATAGAGATGATTTTACTGAAGAGTAATAGAAAAAAATAGAGTGAAAATTTATTTTTTTGAGATAATTTTATTTTAACATTTTTATTTTTATTATATATTATTAACAATAATAATAAATTTTTGTTGAGAAACCTAACTGTATAATATTAGTAAACTTTTTTTTAATTATATTTTTGCATTCACTAAATTTAATTTGAAAACCTTTCTTAAAAGGATCGAGTCTAATATGATAGGACGTATTCATTAAAAAACCTTTGAGTTATTTATGAATTTATATATATCTAACATTTCTCTTCCACTCCATGATTTTTTTGTTCCAGTCATTTCTCTTCCACTCAGTTTTTGTCACCATCCATTAATTTCATAACGGAGCTTGTCCTCTACATTACAAAGGACGTAAATGTTCAAGATATAGTGTTTTTCCTAAGAAATTCTCCAAGCCTTACCTGGAACAAATAAATATTTTTCATATGAACACATCGGTTTTCAAATTTTTGTGAGGTCTCCATGATGAAACCTATATTATAGGTTTGTTTCATGGCATGGTTGAACTCGCAATCAACAATGGAAAAAGATGTTATCTTTATGCAGCATAATATGTTGTTTTAACAAACTAAATTGCAATTTTCTCTTTTACTTTACACATTTTATGCCCCACAATGCAATTAAGCCTTTAAGAAAAAAAAAAGTTTAAAGGTGAGATATAAACAATTATTAAATGTTTGATTTGTGTTTTAAAACTTTTTTTTTCAAATTATATAAGTTTAAGGATAAAATATACTGTAAAAAAATTCAAGGACAAAACACTACTTTAATGGTTAATAGAAAAAAAATACAATTTAGATTTTTTTAAATTTGGAGATTATATTTGATATATTATTACAATTTTAAAAATTTAAAAGTATTGATGATTTACAATTTCAAAAACTATTTATTTATTTAAAAGTAAAAATAATTCATTATAAATTATTTCTTATGTATAAGTTATAGATCACTTAACTATTTATTAATATTAAGAACCAACTCAACCTATTACTACAAGATTTCGTGACTCTTATTTTAATAGAAAACAAAGTTTCAAACTTTCAATAACTTCTCTTAAAAAAAAAATCATATCCTCCTTCCGCCAGTTGTTTCGTTTTCGTGCCGTGTTTTTATTATAATAATAACACTAATTACGTTTAAAACTTGTTTGGAGAGCAGGGACCAAGGGAAGAAGAGATAAAAAAGCAGAAAATGATACGTAAGGCAAAATACTTGGCTACAATTAAGTCAAGTTTGGCGAAAGGTATTAAATCCATTAACGAAGCATCACATAAAATGCACTATCAGATAACATTCACTATCCGATAACATTATTGGAGATTAGCCTTATTGGCAATGATTTATGTAATGTATATCAGATGCCATTATTGGCAATGATTTTACACCTATTGATTAGCCTTAGCTGATTTGAGAGAGTTTATGTTTGACACGACATTAAGCAGTAAACTTGGTGTTTTTAGCTCCATTCCTTAGTTTTAGGTTAAACCAAGTTCTTCCCGTTTATTAAAATTTCATACCTAATATCTATATATTTAATATTTACTAACAAAGGTCATGAATAACTTGGTGACAAAACCATACTATTAATTATCTTTCCCTACACTGGAAAAAACAAGTGTTGAAAAATTGCAGGAGAAAAATGTTAAAGCTATTGCAGTGAGTTTGTAAAAAAAACTTGTAGCTGCCAAAGTGTAGTCTGACTCAGACTACTCCACAGATAGGGAATAAACCTAGCTCAGTTTAAATTGGCTACCAAAGCTAGTTGCAAGTCCCACTAACCAATAATAATATTGCTTTTATTTGAGATTGACTAAAAGTAGAACTTTAAACAAGGGAATCCGATACTTGTCACTCATCCTCCTTCTCTCACAAGGACATTTTTTCTTAATCATTATTCTTGGTGTTTATAAGAAAGCCACTTCATACACGTGAGAGTATCTCATTAGTGTTTTATAAACAATAGCAGTTGCTAATTTTCATCTTGTGTATTAAACACGTACACAAGGATGGAAGCAAGATGCTGCTATGGTAGTTTTGGTAAGATCTTCGTTAAGGCCATGCCTTTTTTGTTAACAGTGGGACTGCAGTTTGGTTTCTCAGGAGCATACATCTTCACCATGGCCAGTATCAACCATGGAATGAGTCGTTTTGTGTTCATTTTCTATCGCAATGCCTTTGCTGCAATGGCCCTCACTCCTTTTGCTTTGATTTTTGACAGGTGCATGCTAGTGCTACCCATCATCTTATTGTATCTGCATTTTCGCATATTTATCTCACACCCTAACACCATCTTAAACATATGTGTCTGGGTCTATTAATTCTTGATAAAACTTTTTAAATTGGTGTAAGGTGTTCGTGAGTTCTCTGTAGTAACTAGTGAACCCGAACCATTTTATTTGAGTTTTGAAGGTGTAACCTGTTTAATTTTGATGACTTTTGGTTTAGGTAACCTTTTTTTTATTATTTAAAAAAAATCATGCAAATTTGATGACCTAATATTTTTTAATTATTGTTTATAAATTTTTTCAATTACCTTTCGTTGCAATGTTTGCAGGAAAATTAGGCCGAAGATGACATTCCCTGTCTTTTTACAGATAATGGCACTCGGATTTTTGGAGTAATGATCTGAAACCTACAGTTATCTATCAGTACAGAGTAGACCTATATAACTCCATTCTCTTTGACCCATGACGTCATGTTAAGTTGAATAACATGTGTGGCTATTTACTTAAATTATAGAACTTTTGTTCTACAAAAATGTCAACCGTACATGTTTTTTATAACATTTTTAAGTATAAAATAAATTACTTTTTGGAGTAATGTTCTTCTGACACAGCTGTCTCAGTAGTAAAAAGTTTCATTGAAGTAAGTCTGTCTACTAAATAAAGATATGTATGCTTTGAAAAGATATTCTATCTTCTATTTCAAGTTAATACAAACATGTTTATATATATGATCATCATTCATATAATATTTATAATGTTACTCTTTTTATTTCTATTTATATCACATCAAGAATCTTATCTCAGTACTCTCTTTTATTTTCATACCTCTCTTTATATATGTTACAAACTTTTTATATCAATATAACTTTTACAAAATGTTATATATGGATACAATTGGCCACTGCATCCTTTAAATTGTATCCATCTAAAACCCCTAATATGTAAGCATAATATTATGCATGAGCATTTAATATAAATTATTTATTTTTTCATTAACAGTTGAGTTGAGATTATTTATTTTATTTTCTAGAGTGAATTACTCATTTTGAATTTTCATATCTTATACGCGATATAATATTTAAATTTCTCATAAATTAATTACGAATTATAATCTTGTTTTTTTAATGCAAATATAAATTCATTATTAGATAGTAGATAAATGGAATGAACTTACTTAGCTATTTGTGCTAATTTAGAGCATCCTATTGCATAATTACTTAAATAAGATAATTATTTTAATTTTGTCAGTCTTACTATGTCATATAAATTTAATAAATTTACACAAAGATTCATTTTAATATTCAAATTGTTAAAATGAGTCTTTATGTTAGTTTTGCAAGTCTTAAAATTTTACTAAGATTTCAAACCTTATCATTGATTGATGATATAAGTTAATTATTTTTTCTTGATAAAAATATAATTTCTTCTAAAATGTTGTTTATTTTGTTTATATAAGCAATATCACGTTTTTTTTAATATTCAATTTGTTAAAACGAGTCTTTATGTTAATTTTGCAAGTCTTACAATTTTACTAAGATTTCAAACCTTATCATTGATTGATGATATATATATATATATATACTTAAAAAATCAGTTGATTATTTTTGCTTGATAAAAATATAATTTCTTCTAGAAATGTTGTTTATTTTGTTTATATAAGCAATATCACGTTTTTTTAATATTAAATTGTTAAGTAATGTGACTTAATTTTAATGGAAATTGCACTGAAAAGAAACATGTTGGTAAGAAACGAGAATACAGAAAATAAAGTTTGTAAAGGATTATAATATCTCAAATTGGTGTCTAACAAAACTAACTAAAATATGCTTTTAAAGAAACAAAAGTACTTCAAATATGGAGGTATGATGAGGAAGTTTTTGTTATCATTCGGACTACCACTAGGGTTATTTTTAGAAGCATAAAGGAAATTCATCCATGGTTAAAATACTAAAGATACCCGAAACAGCACCTGAAACCAAAACACACAATCGTTTTCCTTCTTTCGAATGGTTTTTTGACGATAGTGTATCCCATGGCATGTGATATTTCAGGCCAGTGATTGACCAAGGGTTCACTTTCCTGGGAATGCAATATACATCAGCTTCATTTGCCTCTGCTATAATGAATGCCACGCCCTCAGTCACTTTTGTGCTGGCCATAATTCTAAGGTAAGGTTCACTTTCTTGTCTCCACTTTTTCATTTCATAATTGAGCATTTAGTCCAAGTAAATCTATGACTTGTGTTTGGTGGATAATATACAGAAAACACATTGAATGTGTATCAGGTTAGAGCGTGTGAATGTTAAGGAGGCAAGAAGCCTAGCGAAGGTGATAGGGACGTTGGTAACCTTTGGAGGGGCTTCGTTAATGACACTTTACAAAGGTCCTCTAATTAACCTATTTTCCTCTCCAAACACCACCCATCACCAAGATGTGAGTCCCTCCCCTCATGATCAGGGTCTCAAGCACTGGGTCTTTGGGACTCTCTTTATTCTCCTGGGTTGTCTGGCTTGGTCATCTTTCATCATTTTACAAGTAACTAATTATGTCTTAATTACTTCAATCTTAATTTCTTCATTGATACACACTTGCATGCATGTGTAACAAGCAACATGTGTTTGTCGGTCAATTGTGAATTGCAGTCCATTACATTGAAAAGGTATCCATCAGAATTGTCTCTGTCTTCGTTGGTCTGCTTAGTGGGCGCTTTGCAAGCTGGGGTAGTGGCCCTTGTGGCCACCCATGACTCTGGGCTTGGGGCTTGGGCCTTAGGCTGGGACTCCACACTCTATGGTCCTCTCTACTGTGTTAGTAGTACTCCATATTACTATCTTTTTGTTTCCAACACATTTAATCAATGGTTTAATTAGCCTATGCTAAAATTGTTAATCAATATTAATTTTTGTTAATGCATATTTCACAACTATAACGTGATAAAAAAATTTAATTTTTAAAATTCTTCATCAAACTTGTATAAATTAAAGAATGTTATTATCAAATACAAAAAAAAGTACAAAAACAGGTGTAGAAAGAAAAAGTATCTACGGTGGTGTGGATTAGAAATGGAATGCACCCAAAAGTAAAATGTAAGGCTCGGCCCATCATGCCTAGTCATAATTGTATTCTAAATTTTTACAAACCTTGTGTTTAGTTTTTTTGTTATCATATTATTTAGAAGAGTAGAATTTTAAAATAACTAATAAAATATCGTATGTTACATTAGGTTAGACGAAATTTGAAATAAAAAATTAAAATAAAAACTAAATATCTTAATGATTTTTTTAATAAAAATTACATACATTGCATGTAAAATATAATTCATTAAAAAAAAAAACATTAGAAGACAGCTTTTAAAATTTACAAAAACGTTTACACAATAAATTAAAAACTAAAGTTAAAGAAGACATATGTGCTATTCTTTCGAAGAAAATAAATTAAAGCTTCAATCATATTCAAGTGATGGTGGTAATAGTTAAACTTTTAATTGCAATAACATAACAACAAATCAACATCGAATCTTTATTAATAAAGAAAAGAATTCGATTAGAATATATTGATTATATAATTTTTTTATTGGCTATATTATTTTACTTGATAAATTTTTTTTTATAATAATTATTTTTCTGTGATTTCTAATAGTTGTCGGCAGAGTAAAAAAGATATATGAAAATATATAATTTAAATTAGAAAATAAAAAAAGGATTTATTGTACTTTATTATAAAATGATGGTTGACTTCAACTTCAAATTTATTACAGTTGAAAAAATTGCAAGTTTTTTATTCTTCACAATCAATTTTAAAATTACAGGGAGTAGTGTCCTCTGGAATTGCTTATTATGTGCAAGGGTTGGTATTGCAAAGTAAAGGCCCAGTATTTTTCACAGCCTTTAACCCCCTTTGCATGATCATAACATGTGCTTTAGGCTCTTTCCTTTTTTCAGAGCAGCTTCATCTGGGCAGGTATAATATTACTTCTCATTCACTGCTTCATCCATTACCATTATTCTTGATCCTTCCTCTTCTTTAATTTATTGCCACATTTCTCTAAGTTTTTCCTTTGTAACATATGATTGATTTCAGTGTCATTGGAGCTATGATTATCGCAGTGGGTCTGTACTGTGTGGTGTGGGGCAAAAGCAAAGACTATTCAGACCCCACCCCAACATCACCAACTACAAAGAAAACTGAGACAAAACACCTCCCAGTTACCTCATCTCATATCTAACACAGATTTCCAAAAGGAATATA